TTATCTCGTACCACGGACAATGACCTGTTTCAGACCTTCTAACATCCCCTTACATTCACATACTTATAATCGTGACCAGTGGTGTGATTATAGTAAAAATATTTCTTGTGGATTACATAAGCATGCTATATAGAAACAGATTATATGAGCGTAAATATTCCCGGAAAGACAGCTCTTATACAAAATCAAAGGAATGTAGAAAAACCCCTCTATCTAACTGCCTACTCTACCCATGCACTAAATGTTCTAACTAATTTTATCCCCAAAATCAAAATACACAGTGGGGCTATCTCCCTCTCTAACCATAAACAGAGTAAAAATGTAAAAAATCAAAAAGTAATAAGGTACCATCTTTCCATACAACCCGGTATCACGCTAAAACGTGTAATACACACGCTGGTCCACTAGCGGATGCGTGTTATGTTCACGCTTTGCCTCCTCAAGGCGTGAACATGACACGCAGGAATGAAGGTTGAACACCAGCAGGGGGCAATCATTTCCTCAATGCCGACTACTCTCCACGGACCAAAATAGAAGCGATTAAGTGCATTCTCCAAAATTCCCGCGATCTGGTAGGTCAAAGCCATATTTTTATTACGGTGCTTTCATTTAAGAAATCTACTTTGCTGTAGCCTAACGTTATATTTGTGCGTATGAAGACTGTGGAGCTTTTTAATCGATGGTGCTGATAACGTTAGTGGTCAATAACGTCAATGGAAAGTGATATTAATTGGCTAATTAATTAATAAGAGAAAACTGCTGTCGATCCTGAAATATCGATACTGATGTTGTAGCCTATCTATTCTAAAGGATAGATCCTCACATAAACCAGTAATTTTTTCGATTTTGAACGAATTTATTTTATTCAGAAATGATGCAATAAATCGATTATACGTGATCGTAAATGCTTTTACATTGTTACACACACACACACACACACACACGTGTGTGTGTGTGTGTTTATATATATATATATATATATATATATATATGTATATCATATAAGCTGTTCTAATAATTATGATGCTGAAAATTCAACTTTGATCTCTGGAATAAATTACATTTTAACATATTTAAATAGAAAACAGATCGCCTATTTTAAATAATATTTCACAATTTTTGTTTTTATAAAGATTTACTGTATTTTTGATCAAATAAATTAAGCTGTCGTAAGCATATTATACTTCTTTTAACATTAAACATCTTACTGACCCCACATGTAAAATTTACTATAATTATTCTAGTTTGTGCCATTACATTTTTTTTTATTGATCGATAAAGTTCATATTATGTTCTGTAATTGATGTAAATAAATCTTTCAGAAGAAAATGGGCAAAATTGGGGGTACAACACTAAAACAATAACCATACACACAACTATTTACAGGCGCATCGAGAGGACAAATAACAAAATCTTTTTTAAATCTCATTTATTACGACACACTGCTTCTGTACATGAATGCAGTTTGCATGCTGAATATGCAATAACAGCAGCATCAAAGTTATCTTCTTTATTTTGTTGCAGTTATATGTATAGTATGACAAATCGTGGAATCTTTGCTGCAAAATAACTATGTTTTCGTTTTCCTTTGTCCAACAGCTCCTGTTTGTACCCACCATCCTTACCTCCACCTGTCTAATTTTATAAGAAACCAACGGCTCTTTTAAGAGCCACTCCTCTATCTCTCTCACTGTCAGTCTCTCTCTCTCTCTCTCTCTCTCTCTCTCTCTCTCTCTCTCTCTCTCTCTCTCTGTCTCACTCTCAGTCTCTCTCTCACACACACAAACACTTTCTCTCTCTCTTTATTCTTCTCTTCCAGAAGCCTGGTGTTTTCAAGTTGCCTAAGTATTACATTTTTTTTTTAATATTTATTGTTCTGTTTTGGTTGTGTGAAAGAAATTCTTCTCAAAATCTCTGTCACTCTCTTACTTTATCTATAATAGAAATGCCAGGCCAGGGGACAACCAGGCGAAAATGTATGGTCTGTCATACAGACCTAAATGTGGCCTGCAAAACTTGCAAAACATGCAAGAAAGAACTGTCATGATTCTGCCTTCTTGTCTTTGATTTTCTCTAGTCGTGAGGCAGGATCATGACAGAATCATGTTTTGTGTGCAAGCGCATGGCCTGTTTGGGCCATGTGCTTGTGTTGTCTCGTTAACTTACCCCGCCCCCTTGTTATCCTAGTCTTGTGATTATTGTCTAGTCAGTTTCACCTGTCCTGGTCATTAGTGTTCCCCTTTATAATCCCCTTGTGTTTGCTGTCCTGTGTCGGTTCATTGTTTGAAACATGCTGTGAAACCTGCTGTGAGATCTGTTTGTTGTTTTGTGAAGTTTGCAGTGAGTAATCCCTTGAGTTAACTGTTAATCCAGAGTCTGTTCGTGTTTTAGTATTGTTCCTGTCTTGACCTCAGTTTAAGTCTAGTGTTTGTTACCCAGTCTTGTTTTGCCCCCTCGTGGGCTTTGTTTTCCCCTTTTGTCTTGAATAAATTCTGTGTTGAGCAATCAGTCTGCTTTTGGGTTCGTCTATCCTCCCACTTCATAACAGAATGAACCGACCAGAGAAGAACCCAGCAGACTGTTTGTCTTTCCCCAATAGACCACAACCGGCTGACCAAGAATTATGGTGGCAGTCGGCCATCGCAGATAGTAGAGCTGGAAGACTTCCATTTCCTCCCCAGGGTGAGTTGTCCCTGCAGAAGTATGCTCAGGTCGTTGAAGAAAGGAGATTCTTCCTGCCTGAGGTCCTGGTTTCTCGCTATTTCATCGCCGGTCTCAACTCTCCACCTCCGTTGACTGAACGGGAGGAGCTCACTCGTCGCCCATTTCAAGCTGTGGTGGATAGCTTATCCCGGAGAGAGTCACAGACACCCACAAGCTTGTCACCACCTGCCAGGCTGCCAGTGATCCCGGAGGGTCACATTTTAGCCGTGGTTACGCAGGGGAACCAGGCTCACTCCACTTCGGCTCCCGACGCATCAGCTGCACCCGCAAGTCTCCGTGGCAAGCGAGAGAGATGGCTGTCGTGGGAGTCTACTTCGGAGTCCTCTTCAACTGAGACCACACTTCCTGTCGTGCTTCCCCAACCGGTCACAAGCCTGGCTATGTCCTCTGCTCCACGACCCAGGAAGAAGAAGAGGAAGAAGGGAGCCTCTGGTCCTCTGTCTCTGTCTCTCCCAGAGCCCGCTCCAGCAGGCGCCGTCCCAGAGCCCGCTCCAGCAGGCGCCGTCCCAGAGCCCGCTCCAGCAGGCGCCCTCCCAGAGCCCGCTCCAGCAGGCGCCCTCCCAGAGCCCGCTCCAGCAGGCGCCGTCCCAGAGCCCACTGCGGAGAGAGTTGCGGCCGATCTAGCCGCAAGAGAGATTCTGCAGTCGGTTTCTGCTCGTCAGGAGATGCCCATCTCTCTGGCTGCCAAGACCCTGTCTGACTATTTGTCCAGTCTGATCAAGATCCTCGAAGTGCCTGTCCTGTCCTGTCCCGAGCCCACTGTGTCTGTAAGTGCTGTCCCTGAACCTGTGTCTGTAAGCGCTGTCCCTGAACCTGCTGCTGTAAGCGCTGTCCCTGAACCTGTGTCTGTAAGCGCTGTCCCTGAACCTGTGTCTGTAAGCGCTGTCCCTGAACCTGTGTCTGTAAGCGCTGTCCCTGAACCCGCTGCTGTAAGCGCTGTCCCTGAACCTGTGTCTGTAAGCGCTGTCCCTGAACCTGTGTCTGTAAGCGCTGTCCCTGTGTCTGTAAGCGCTGTCCCTGAACCTGTGTCTGTAAGCGCTGTTCCTGAACCTGTGTCTGTAAGTGCTGTCCCTGAACCTATGTCGGTAGGCGCTGTCCCTGAACCTGCAGCGGAGAACACCACTCCCAAGTCGGAGAGGATGATCGTCGGATCAGAGTCACCTTCTGTGAGCTCTGTCCCAGTTTTCCCTCTGCGATCTCCTACACACCCCCCGTCATGAGTCCAGCTTCGTGTCCATCGTTCGCTGTACCCCCAGTTGCTATCCCTGTTGTGACTTCCACTGTTCCCAAGACCTCGTGTGTTTCCCCGGTCAGTCCTGTCTGCGCTCAACCCCGGTCCCGGACTGTTTCCCCATTTGTCCCTGTCCCCACGGTCCCTGGACTTCCGTTTGTTTCCCCTGTCTCCCCTGTCATGGCTCAACCCCGGACTGTTTTTCCCTTGTCCCACACCACTCCTCCCAAGCCCGCTCGGTCCTCTCTTCCTAAGTCCACTCCCTGTGGTCCCAGGACCCCTGTCCCGCCCACCCACCTTGGACAGTCGCTCAAAGACTCTGTGTTTCCTCCACCTCCTCTGCCTTGTATGTTGTTTTTGATGTTTCACCCCAATCCTGTCGTTGTGTATTTTTGTATGCCTTTGTTAGTTTTTGCTATGTACTGTTGGTTTGTGTCTTTGTCACAGTCTGTCATGTCCCGTGTTTAATGTCCCCTTGAGGAGCGTCTGGAAGCCGCTCCTTAAGGTGGGGGTTCTGTCATGATTCTGCCTTCTTGTCTTTGATTTTCTCTAGTCGTGAGGCAGGATCATGACAGAATCATGTTTTGTGTGCAAGCGCATGGCCTGTTTGGGCCATGTGCTTGTGTTGTCTCGTTAACTTACCCCGCCCCCTTGTTATCCTAGTCTTGTGATTATTGTCTAGTCAGTTTCACCTGTCCTGGTCATTAGTGTTCCCCTTTATAATCCCCTTGTGTTTGCTGTCCTGTGTCGGTTCATTGTTTGAAACATGCTGTGAAACCTGCTGTGAGATCTGTTTGTTGTTTTGTGAAGTTTGCAGTGAGTAATCCCTTGAGTTAACTGTTAATCCAGAGTCTGTTCGTGTTTTAGTATTGTTCCTGTCTTGACCTCAGTTTAAGTCTAGTGTTTGTTACCCAGTCTTGTTTTGCCCCCTCGTGGGCTTTGTTTTCCCCTTTTGTCTTGAATAAATTCTGTGTTGAGCAATCAGTCTGCTTTTGGGTTCGTCTATCCTCCCACTTCATAACAAGAACAGCCACATAAGCTGAGGCTAGAAAAAAAACTAAACAAATTTGATCAGAAGAGGGAGGGCTGGGTTCAAATGCAAAAAAAAAATCGGACTACCTCCCATATACAGGATGAAGCTGTGTTGTTGGTATGCAATTTCTTGTATTGTTTTTATGCAGGTTATTTTCCAAATGTTGCTAGATATATTTTTAAACAATATATGTTATTTTGTATGTGTGTCCTTGTATTTGTAGCTCGAAAAATTGCAGGCCCTGGGGTTAAGGGGGGTTTTACTTCTCTCCAAGCCTGGAAAAAAGCAAAACAATTGGGTGTCTGAGGTTTTGGCACCCCGCTGCCAGCTGAGTGAGACATCACATACATGCCTTGAACGAATTAAGGCCATGTATGATATTGTTATTCAAGGTAAGAATATTCTGTTATTTATTTAAAAAAAAAAAAGTCCTGTATTTGATGTGGTCACAGCCTCACAGGTCAGCCTGTGGTTGCCTTCTCTTGACTAATAATAGATCATTCAGATTATCATTGAAGGTTTTTGCTTACAACTAAACTAAACTAATTGGGAGAGGTTAAAAGCTAAGCAGCTAGCTATTTAGCTGCTCATGTTTAAGTACCAATAAAATAACATTAATTTTATCTGCTTGGTTTTCATTTTAATCTTAAATAAAATAGAACACACACACACCAGGCGATCCAGTATATTTGGCTTTTATACTAAACCAAGCTTGAACTGTGATGGTGGATTAAAGAAAAGAACATTCTTTTATAAACGCATGCCGATATGCTGCCTTTTTTCACTAAAACAGTGCCTGGCCCTAAACTTAGTGATCCATGCCCATCATAGATGTTGCAGATCAGGGTTCTACACTTTTTAGGTGGTGACACTAGTCCTAGCAGAGTAGCTGGTTTGTTGAGCGCACTGGCGCTGTTTGACGGTGGCTTCCGTCACATCACCAAAGTGGATGCTGCGCACTGATGGTGGTTGAGGAGACCTCCTGATATGATTGTAAAGCGCTTTGGGTATACAGTAGTACATATGATAGTGCTAAATAAATGTGTCATTCTATTCTATTCTATTGAATTCAGTTGGAAGACAATGTAATTAGCCGTGCTATAATTTTAATTATAAAATTCCAGTTGAAAAAATGGCACTATTGGTCATCCACCAGACTATCTCAAAACATTCATCACATGTCTTGAGGACATTCACCCATTAATACAACTTAGGAAGAAGTAGAACAGCACTTATTAGGTCTATACACATCTCTTTTTGCTACTACGGCTGCAACTAACGATTATTTTTACGGACTTTTTTTCTTGATGAATCGATTAGATTTGTTCTATAAAATGACTTAAAATTGTGAAAAAGGTTGATTGATGTTTTCTAAATAATTATGTACTTCTACAATGTAGGCTGGAGCCCACAAGTAATTCAAAGTTCATCAGCCCCAGTTGAACCACCAACAGGACCACCAATGGTCATTTCAAATCAGCAGGAAGCAGTGGTCCTTCTTAATCCTCCAACAGCTCCAACAGGACCTCCAGCAGCCCTTATTGGACCACCAAAGTCCCCAATTGAACACCCAGTGTCCTCTTTAGCACCCTCTGTAAAGCCATCCCAGAACCTGGGGAAAAGACCCCACTCCCCAGAAGGACCTTCAGCAGCCTCCCCAGTTTCCTTTGAAAAAGGTGAGCATAAAAGGAGCTACAGTATATGAAGAGTTAAACCATACTCTTACTTTGTGTAATGTGAAACTGTAAACAAATTCAGAGTCCGAAACATTTATATATATGTTTCTTGAGCAGCAAATCATCATATTAGAGTGATTTCTGAAGGATCATTTGACACTTGTGGAGTGTGGAGCAGTGTGGCTGCTGATAATTCAGCTTTGATCACTGAAATAAATTACAATTTAAAGTATATTAAAGTCTTCATTATATGGAATATTAAAGTCTCCATCATATGGAAGTCTCCAGTCTTCATTATAAACTGTGCCTAATTGTATTCCTCATGAGGGAGACATGGATGCAACATTTTGCAAATGTTCTAAAATATTTTTTTCACATATTTTAAATGTTTCTCAATATTTAACAGATGAAGTTGTGGAAGGAGGCTGTCCTGCTCCCACTATTGTGCGGCCGAATAAAAGGAAAGGTGTGTATGTAATGTGTGTAATCCATACATTGGGATTTATATTAATTGTTGTGAGTCTTCATGAAGGCTGTATTTGCATTTGTAAGTTGCTGTGATCTATTAGGTTTAGGCGATGTCCAAATTAATTTGTTCAATTGTTTATTTAACAGTAGGGCTGAACAACTAATCAAAATCTTATCGAACTCGCAATATGACCTATTGCAATTTTTAAACCACAGGAGGTGCAATATTTGTTTATTAATTTGTGTTAATACCATTTTAAACTAAATATTGTGGCGCTGCAGAGATGTCCTGGGCCTACACATCGTATTCTACAGCTCTTTGTTAGATACAAATCACACCATAATCGTTTAAATATGTTATTACCTTGTTTGACAGTGAAAGTTGTGAAAGGAGGCTGTTCTGCTCCCGCTACAGTGCGGCCAAAAAAAAGGAAAGGTATGTTGATGTACTGCTTGTCCAGATTTCTGTATTGGAGTGTGAACTGAATCCCACAAAATTGATTAGTAAGACGAGCTGTAGTACCTAGTTACAGTCTTCTGGCAATTATTTGCCAACACAATAGGTTTTGTTTTTCACAGTCAAAAGCTTGTTAGTCTTTGCTATGAGATACAAAGCAATGAACAACTGCCAGGCAGCACAATAGAGATTTGGATTTAATGGATTTAACTTGCCTTTGTTTACCAATATATTTATTACAACTGCCCAACCCTAAAGTTTGTGTTGATTACATTTACAGTAAATTACCAGTGTTCAATACAACTTCTGTACCATAATAACTACAATATCAAAACTGTAATTAAGTACAACCCATTCAAGCTTAATAACCACTTATCATTTTATAATGACTTGTTTATAGTAGTGTTAAAGGGTTAGTTCACCCAAAAATGAAAATTAAGTCATTAATTACTCACCCCCATGCTGTACCAACCCCGTAAGACCTTCGTTCATCTTCGGAACACAAATGAAGATATTTTTGATTAAATTTGAGAGCTGTATAACTACCACATAGACTGCCTAAGGGACTGCCTCTTGACGGCCCAGAAAGTCAATGAAGAAAATGTTTAAATATTCCATGTGACTACAGTGTGTCACAGTCCTTCGTCTGCACCATCCTGTCTGCGTCTCCTGCACTACACTTCCCATGATCCTCTCGTCTGCACACCTGAACTCACTCCCTCATCAGCCTCCCGTTCAGCGTCCTGCTTCATCTGTCTCACCTGTTTGCACCTCGTTATGTTTGATTCATCTGTGTATTTAGTTCCCTCTGTTTTATTCAGTCCTTGTCGGTCGATGTGAATGTTACCTTGTGTTTGCTCCCGATTCCTGTATTTGTTGCATGTCATTTTGGAATTCAATTCTTCTTCTTGTTCATCTGGACTCCTCCTGCTCTTCTGCCTGCACCCACACCGTGACACAGTGGCTCAACTATAAATTTATCAAGCGACGAGAATACTTTTTGTGTGAAAAAACAAACAAAAATAACGACTTTATTCGACTATTCCTTTTCTTCCTTGTTGGCCTGAAACGAGACTTCCTTAGATTTCCACGACGCATGCGCGAGAATTGCGATCTCCTTACACTACTTCAGTTCAGTTCTCGCGCATGCGTCGTGGAAATCGTATTGAAGTCTCGTTTCAGGCCAACAAGGAAGAAAAGGAATAGTCAAATAAAGTCGTTATTTTTGTTTGTTTTTTCACACAAAAAGTATTCTCGTCGCTTGATAAACTTATAGTTGAGCCGCTGTAGTCACATGGAATATTTAAACATTTTCTTCATTGACTTTCTGGGCCGTCAAGTGTCATTCCCTTAGGCAGTCTATGTGGTAGTTATACAGCTCTCAAATTTAATCAAAAATAACTTCATTTGTGTTCCGAAGATGATCGAAGGTCTTACGGGGTTGGTACAGCATGGGGGTGAGTAATTAATGACTTAATTTTCATTTTTGGGTGAACTAACCCTTTAAGCTTTGTGAATGTAATATTTGTTCACTTTCAGAATGCCCACATACAGTGACAGGGAGCCAGGGGTATTACCCTGTGAAGAGCGTTGCCAAATACAAAGTCATTAAGGTTAAATACCACTAAAACACTACATGGGTTACAAAATGTTATTTTATTGGTGTAATGGTCTTGAAAAGTATTGGTGATTAGTATAACTGCTAAACAAAGCAAATATTTGAAACTGAAAAAGTCTCACTATTTTTAGGGTCAAAAATGGAAGCAAGTGGTGTGGGAACCATGCAAACTCTGGTAAGTACAACTTCTCATGGGTAACACTCACAGCCAATTAGTTTTAACATATACAAACTATTGACATATGTAAGGTAAGATGTGTTGATAAAGTTCATAAATATTTTTTTATAACCCATACAAAGTGTCTTAATAAGGTGTTGGGCTACTACGTGCCCCCAGAAGAGTTTCATGCTCTTTGGCATAGTTTTTTTTAAATCAGGGGAGCTCCATTGGTCCAAAATATATGCTTTTATTTGGTGTGTATAACAGCTTCAGTCCATAAAGTTGTTATGGTGGCTCTTGGTGGCCCAACACCTTACTAAGACACTTTGTTTTTGTTTTCTCTTTATTCCAGGGTTCCCCAATCTCGGTCCTGGAGGGCCACTACAATGTTTAGCTCCAACCCTGATCAAACACACATGGGCAAGATAATCAAGGTCTTAAGGATCTTTAGAAACTCATAGGTAGGTGTGTTTGGAGGGTTGGAGCTAAACTCTGCAGGACAGTGGCCCTCCAGGACTGAGTTTGGGGAATTCTGCCTTAAAAGGTTAGTTCACCCAAAAATGAAAATTCTGTCAGTATTTACTCACCCTCATGTTGTTCCAACCCCGCAAGACCTTCGTTCATCTTCGCAACACAAATTAAGATATTTAAGATATTAAGATCGCTCCTGCATACTAGTCCATAGGCTTTTTGAGGGAATGACTCTTGCTGGCATCGAAAAGTCATTAAAGACATCGTTAAAATAGTCCAAGTGACTACAGTGGCTCAATTTTAACTTTATCAAATGACGAGAACACTTTTTGTGCGCAAAAACAAACAAAAATAACGACTTTATTTCAACTATTCACTTCCTTCTCCATGGGCCTGTAGTCAGTTAACATAGTGTGATTGCGTAGAGCTACGTCACACATAGGCTCACTATTGGCCGACGCTGGTCATGTGTGTGATGCGTGTGACGTACAATAACAGAAGCTTACGCTATTAAACTAGTAACCTGACTCGCGCAGAGGGAGAAATAAACGAATAGTTTAAACAAAGTCGTTATTTTTGTTGTTTTTTGCGCACAAAAAGTGTTCTCGTCATTTGATAAACTTAAGATTGAGCCCCTGTAGTCACTTGGACTATTTTAACAATGTCCTTTAATGACTTTGAGGCCAGCAAGTCATTCCCTCAAGAAGCCTATGGACTAGTATGCAGGAGCGATCTTAATATCTTAAATATCTTAATTTGTGTTCCGAATATGAACGAAGGTCTTACGGGGTTGGAACAACATGAGGGTGAGTAAATACTGACAGAATTTTCATTTTTGGGTGAACTAACCCTTTAAGGTTAGTTTGGTATTTTACCCGTAAAGCCCTGTTTTAAGATTGTTTCTGATGAAATAGAACGGTTAAGATTGAAATTTGGAAAAATGCTGCTGTCCTGAGAATTTTAGAATTTTACATTCCTCATTTTTGATTTACTAAGACAAAATCAATTTATGCTTATAAAATGTAAAAAACTTTGGACTCTTGTGCGCACCAAACAGTGATTCATGTCAGAAACATAACAGATTATAGAATTTTCTTGACTTAAAATAACAATTAAGGCTTTCCTTGCATTGTAGTTGACTAAAATTAGACAACTGTGATGTAATGAAAAAAACCCAGTAAAACACAGCCATTGGAAAAAAGGCTACAGGAGTCTCAATGTGTGTCTTTGTGTCTTCAGTTCCTCTGCAGAACCAAAACATCTAATTGCATGTGTCCTTTTTGTGTTACAGTGGAAAGAAGTGGCCATTGGAGTGGGTGGCGGATATGGACACCTGTTAGTGCTCCTGTCAGGAGCCCAAGAAGGTTGTGGAGCACTGTTTTTTGTGTATAGTTTGCCTTTCTTCTTACTGTTGTGAAAATAAACGCTTCTTGCTACTGGACCCTTTCATTGCCATTTTGGAGCACTTTTTTATGAGCATCCAAGACAACATAAAATATATCTGGGAATTTATTCAGAGAATAGTTACATAAAAAATGAACTGAAGTCATGGCTTTCAAGTAATTTCTTACACTTAAATGAAAATAAGTCGGAGTTTATTATTTTCGGCCCCAAAGAAAACTGTGTTTTCGATTTTGACCAGGGTTGTCTCTCCCCTTATAACACTAAGTGTGCCAGAAATTTGGGCTTCCTTTTTGACTCCAGTTTAAACTTTGATAAACAGATCTCCTCGGTTGTCAAATCATGTTTTTATCAACTTCGCCTTCTCAGTAAAGTGAAGCCCGTCTTATCCAGGAGAAATTTGGAAACAGCTGTTCATGCATTTATTACATCGAGGCTTGATTACTGTAATTCTCTGTATTATGGTATTTCTCAGGCTTCCATCTCGCGTCTACAGTTGGTCCAAAATGCTGCCGCTAGACTACTTGAGGGGAAGCGAAAGTTTGACCACATAAAACCTATCTTAATGTCTTTGCACTGGCTCCCAGTAAAGTATAGGATTGAGTTTAAAATTTTATTATTTGTCTATAAAACTCAGAATAACTTGGCTCCTCAATATTTAACTGATCTTCTGACTCCGTACACTCCTTCTAGAAATCTGAGATCCTCTGACCTTGGCCATCTTACAGTCCCTAAAGTTAAACTCAAAAAACGTGGTGAGCGTGCTTTTGCTGCTGCTGGGCCGAAGCTGTGGAATAGCCTTCCTCCTGCAATTAGGCAAGCTCCATCTATCTGTACTTTTAAATCTCAACTCAAGACTCATCTATTTACCCTGGCTTTTAACACCCTGTAATCTGTCTTCCTGTTTTTTCTGTTTTTCTTTTTATTATTATTATTATTATTATTATTATTATTATTTTTTTTTTAGTGCCTTCTTGTCTCATTTAGTTTTAAGTTTGTATTGCAGTTTTATATCTGTGTCTCTTTTATTCCTTGTAAAGCACTTAAATGTGCTCTATAAATAAATGATTGATTGATTGATTGATTGATTGATTGATAAAATAAAAAATAAACATTTGTTGCTTTTTTATCCTTAACCTTTCTCTATGTAGAAAACATACTGACTCCCCTATGAATAATACATTATGTCCTGTCAGTGTTGGGATATTGAAACATATCAATCATCCATACTAATTGGAACCGATCCAACTGATATAGATATTATACCGCAAAGCGATGATGTCACTGATCATTACATGGTGACATGCATAATACGTACTGCTGAAATATGTCATGTTGCGCCACGTTATAGACCAGGCAGAACAATCCTTCCAACCACTATAGATGGATTTTCAAATAGCTTACCTGATCTATCTAAGCTGCTAAGTGAACCCAAACAAACAGATGAATTAGAGGAAATGACTAGCAGTTTAAGCACCATTCTTACTAGTACATTAGATATTGTTGCGCCAATTAGATTAAAAAAGGTTCGAGAGAAAATTAAAGCACCGTGGTACAACAGTGCTACGCATGCTATCAAGAGAGAAACTCGCAACTTAGAGCGTAAATGGAAACAAACTAATTTAGAGGTCTTTAGAATCGCGTGGAAAGACAGTATGTCACGTTATAAAAAGACACTAAAAACAGCCAGGGCTGAGCATCTCCGCAAACTAATCGAAAATAACCAAAATAATCCAAGGTTTTTATTTAACACCGTGGCTAGACTAACAAATAAACAGACATCACCAGAGCAAAATATACCTTTACAGTTTAATAGTAATGATTTTATGAATTACTTCAATGCGAAAATAGAAAGCATCCGAAACAAAATTATAAATGTACAATCCGCTATGGTGTCTTATGATTCAGCTTCAATTATGGCCCCTCTAGAACAACTAAACCGCTTTACAACGATAGGACAGGAGGAGCTAAATAAACTTATCATTGCATCTAAACCAACAACTTGTTTATTAGATCCAATACCCACTAAACTACTGAAAGAACTATTACCTGTAGTGGAAGAGCCTCTCCTCAATATTATTAACTCGTCTTTATCTTTAGGTCATGTCCCAAAAATATACAAGCTGGCTGTAATAAAACCGCTCATTAAGAAACCGCAATTAGATCCAAATAACTTGGCAAATTACAGACCCATTTCAAATCTTCCATTTATGTCCAAAATACTTGAAAAAGTAGTGTCCGCTCAATTGTGCTCTTTTTTGCAAGAAAATGATATCTATGAAAAATTCCAGTCAGGATTCAGACCGCATCATAGTACAGAAACTGCGCTAGTTAAAATTACAAATGATTTACTTTTAGCTTCTGACCAAGGCTGTATCTCAATACTAGTCCTACTTGATCTTAGCGCTGCGTTCGACACTATAGATCATATAATACTCTTGGATCGACTACAAAACTTCACCGGTGTCCAGGGACAGGCATTAAGCTGGTTTAGATCGTACTTATCGGACCGTTCTCATTTTGTCTGTTTAAATGGGAAAAAATCAAAGATAACATCAGTAGACTATGGAGTACCGCAAGGATCAGTTTTAGGCCCTCTGCTATTCTCAATATATATGCTGCCACTTGGTAATATTATAAGAAAACATGGAATTAATTTCCACTGTTACGCTGACGACACTCAATTATATATTTCATCACGACCAGATGAAAACACTAACTCATCTAAAATGACAGAGTGTCTCAAAGATATAAAATGCTGGATGACGCGTAATTTCCTGCTATTAAATTCAGATAAAACGGAGGTATTACTTATTGGTCCAAAAAACTACTCACAAAACCTCTCACAATACAACTTTAATATAGACGGATGTCCTGTTACTTTATCCACAACAGTAAAAGACCTGGGTGTTATACTAGACCGCAACTTGTCGTTCGAAAATCATATTTCATATGTTACAAGAACAGCCTTTTTCCACCTTAGAAACATTGCTAAGCTACGTAACATGTCATCTATTTCTGATGCAGAAAAATTAGTTCACGCATTCATGACCTCGAGACTAGATTACTGTAATGCTTTATTAGCCGGTTGTCCTGCATCCTCAATAAACAAGCTACAGTTAGTACAAAATGCAGCTGCTAGAGTTCTTACTAGGTCAAGAAAATATGATCATATAACACCGATTTTATCATCTCTACACTGGTTACCTATTAAGTTCCGCATCAACTACAAAATACTACTACTGACCTATAAAGCCCTAAATGGTTTAGCACCTATGTACTTAACGGACCTTCTTTCGCCCTACAATCCACCGCGTTCCTTAAGATCACTAAATTCAAGGCTTCTGGTCATTCCTAGGATATCGAAGTCCAGTAAAGGAGGGAGGGCGTTCTCGCATTTAGCTCCAAAACTCTGGAATGGCCTTCCCGATACGGTCCGAGCCTCTGACTCGCTGACACAGTTTAAAACTAGATTAAAGACGCATCTCTTTAGTCAAGCATTCACATAATGCTTACCTTCTAGTCCTCTGTTATGCCATACGGAACCGTTTGCCACTGAAACTGCTTAACGCACCAGTGGGGCTCGACAGCCTCTTAGACAAACGGGTCGGCGCGTATGGTTGGGTTGCGGAGAGTTCGGGTTACGGAGAGTTTGTGAGTTATAACGGAAATTATTATGAACATCAGCTATGCTAATTATTTCCCATCTGCCTTTCTGCTGTTATCTCGGGACGCTTGTCCCGAGAAAAATGGCGTTCGTCAGGTCCAGTTTTGTGTCCAGCCTCTCACGGGGATTTCGGATGCCCCAACGCCTGTGATGAGACGACTCAACGCCTGTGATGAGACGACTCAACGCCTGCGATATGTTATGGCGCCGTTTGATTCATAAACAATATTTATATTTAATATTTATATTTAAACAATATGAATGTAAGCCAGAGGAGAACTGGCCCCCGACTGAGCCTGGGTTCTCCCAAGGTTTTTTCTCCATCCAATCTGATGGAGTTTGGTTCCTTGCCACTGTCGCCTTGCTTTTGGCTTGCTTTGAGCTTGCTCAGTTGGGGTTATTTATTTAGTAATGTTGTTGATCTGTGTTGTGCTACTTACATGTTATCACTGTGAAGCTGCTTTGATACAATCTGTATTGTGAAAAGCGCTATATAAATAAATGTGACTTGACTTGACTTGACTAATTAATTGATGACATATTTTGCCTTTGTACACATCTCTTCTGTGTCACACAATGGAATTGCCTTTGCATACAGCACCATGATTTTAAATGGCAACCTGTCAAACAACTTTATACAAAGCTTTTTTTTTACATAAAGATTGACTTAATTGCAATTTTTGCATTAGTCTTAAATATATGTAAAACTACATTACATAATGTGTTGAGTAATCATAACAATTTAAAATAATGTTAACTGTTGCCTACCAGTCACATTAGGCCTACCCAATAAAGTGGGTTTAAAATTGTGTGTCAGTGCCCTCATAAAGCATTGCACCTACACTCACCTGAATGATTGTTAGAAACACATGTTCAATTTCTCATTAATGCAATTATCTAATCAACCAATCACATGGCAGTTGCCTCAATGCATTTAGGGGTGTGGTCTAAAATGGCCCCAACAGTCACCAGATCTCAACCCAACAGAGCATCTTTGGGATGTGGTGGAACGGGAACTTTGTGCCCTGGATGTGCATCCAACAAATCTCCATCAACTGCAAGATGCTATCCTATCAATATGAGCCAACATTTCTAAAGAATGCTTTCAGCACCTTGTTGAATCAATGCCACGTAGAATTAAGGCAGTTTGAAGGCGAAAGGGGGTCAAACATAGGATTAGTATGGTGTTCCTTATAATCCTTTAGGTGATTGTATTTGTTGTGTCATTATGACATACAGTTTGTGACCTTACTTTGTTGGTAATAACGCTGCCATCTGAAGAGGACGAGGGATCCAGGGACAGCTCCATCCAGGACAGTGTATAGATTACTTTTACTAATATTACTGCAAATGTCTTTCATTATCAAGGAAATGTACACAATTACATGTATTCTTTGCAATCACATTACAGCTTCTATATAATTATCTTTATTTCAGTTACTTCACCACAGGACTTTTGAAGGATATCATGTGAGCTGAGGTTTCAACCTAGTCTGCTGAACTTTTGTCCCAATCAGCTCTACCTCCTTTCTTTTGGTCTTTTTTTTTTTTTTTTTTTTTGTGAAACTGACCCTGAATCAGACCTCATGATTTGGTGTCTTGCTCTGCTTGTGGTATAGGGTGGTCGGTGGTGTGTGTGTGTGTTTGAGGTTTTTAAAAAAGTAACAAAAGTAATTAATAAATCTAATTGCTGTATTGCTCTGAGATTTAGTAAGGTTATAATAATAATAATAACTTTAATTTATATAGAGCCTTTCATAAAACCCAAGGATGCTTTAACAGCAAGAGGGGGAAGAAGGGAGGGGATAGGAGGAGAGAGGTGAGAGGCCAGGGGAGCTAAAAGCCCATAAGCCTCAGTGAATAGGTGTGTTTTAAGCGTGTTTTTAAAAGTCGTTAGAGATGGAGCAGAGCGGATGGCATGAGGAAGCTTGTTCCAGAGTGATGGAGCACCAACACAGAAAGCTCTATCACCAAATGTCCGGAGCCTGGACTTAGGGACACTGAGGTGCAAGTACATGGAGAGATTTGTATGTCAGGAGGAGGATTTTATATTTGATCCGAGATTTAACTGGCAGCCAATGAAGCTTCTCTATGATGGGAGTGATGTAAGGTAAATTAGGTGACGATTGTCTAAATAGCCACTTAGCCATTTGATCACAGCATAGAAACACTCAATTATGACCTATAAAAGTATGGTATGGGAGGATGGGCACTAAATGTCTATAATGATACTGTTATTTATTTTTTAATGCAACTCACCTCTGCATTTTAATTCATTAATGAACACCATTAATTTGAGATCACTCTGAAAGCTCTTTTATTAGGTTAAGGTTTGTGAAAAAGAAACGTTCCGAGAGGCCCACAGTGATATATGTGATTCAAATAAGTCAAAATAAACATTTCATTCATGAATTTGGCCACTGTGACCAACAAATATATTTTAATTAACATTTATACATTAGACCACTTCATGTCTCTTTGAAATGCATGCATGACACAAGGGCTGAGTAGGCAGACTGAAAATTAAAATTTTGTCATATGGTTAAACCAAACACATCACTGGAAAGGTCTTGATCAGCCGAGTAAGAGCTTTGCAACCTGAAGGCTGTACCTGGCTCCTGCTTTGAAATATTGACCTCTGAACTTTGCTATTGATGCATGTTGTGAGTCTTATAATTCAGCAACTGAATGGGCTAAAATAATAAAACCAACTGTTATATAAAGCTCTTGGACTCTTCCATCACAAGGGACACCGGTTGGTGCGATCACCAATAGGGGGCATCACCAAAAGTGGTAAAAATGAAATCTCACCAAGTTATCATTTATAATTTCAAATTCTGACCAAACTTTTGTGTTTCACATATGCCCATACCCATGAGTACACAACTAGTTTTTTACTCTAGACATCCATTTACATGTTTTAGCAATTTACAAAATCAAAACTACAATTCCCTCTTGCAGCAGATTGCAACGTGATAGACAGCCCGTTAAATATGTAGTTCTTCCGGTTGGCAAAATAGGGTTGCAAGTAATTAGGGTTTCAAAAAGAACTATCGTATAAAGTAGCTTCCTAACAGACATGCTACTGCAAAAGCATAATACGTGTTGTATGAATTCAGACCAAAACATCGTATTATGCTTAGCATTATTAGCTAAAATTGCTTTGTATGGGAGATTTATGCTGGTTACTAAGGTAACCGTGTTGGCGCCTTAAGTTGGCGCAGGCGCGTAGCCTGAACACAGAAACCTGTCTATGACAGAAACGGAAGAAGGGTGCGCAAACACACACACACACACACACACACACACACACACACACACACACACACACGCACACGCACACGCACACGCACACACACACACACAATATATATATATATATATATATATATATATATATATATATATATAGCAGGGAAAACTCTGGACATGTCGCCAGTCCATCACACAACCACCCACACTTATGGAAATTCTCTATTTTACCTATTCTATTCGTTTTTTTTTTTTTTTTGATTAAATATTTTCAATTTATGTTTTTATACAGAAGATAATGAAAAAAAAAACTTTATTTGTAAAGAACAACGTGATATGTGATACAAAGACCACAAGAACATTTATTCATATAATTATATGGTAGACATCATTTAAAGCAAATAACCTCTATGATTGTAAGCGGATACAAGTTGTCTAGTGTTAATTATTGTATCCAGAGTTGTGCACCAGGATAATGAAAAATGTGTCTTAATTATGGATATAATTTACAAATTAATTAATAAATAAAACACATAACCCTATACTTACTTGACAATTAACATGTGGAAATGTTATTTTTGTGTGATTATTTTTAGTTATATACCCTGCATACAACTGGCACACAATTTTAAGATAAAAAAGAAAAATCAGTAACTGAATATCTTATTTTGCAGGACAGAGACAAACAAATCAACAGCTCTGAAATAGTTTGCAGGCATGTACAACATGGTTTTATAGTTTTATATATACCTGAAGTAATGCCATGGTAAATTCACTTTGTTGGCAAGGTAACAGACGCAATAACAACAGGAAATAATACACTTAAGACACAAGAATTGATCAATCATTTCTGTAAAGTATTTAATCTAGTGCCATGTAATAAATGGTTCATTCCAAAAGTATCAACAATCACTGTGAATAGCATTATTTAGGTGTATAGAGTATAAAACAATCAAACTATTACATCACTGTAAATAAAATTTTTGCACAGAAAAGGTCATTATGTTGACACTATTAGATGGGCAAAGCTTGGGGAAGTCACCACTGCAAGAGGCTGCAGTCATTCGCAAGCTTGAGGAGCGCCACAGTTAACTGCAAAAATAGTCTGCGAAACTAAATTGAAGGTGAAACTTTAAAACCGACCTGCTGTGTGTAAACAGAGTTTTGGAGAATCATGTAAAAAAATGTCTATCCATCTATGAAGCTAATGTTGCTTACTCAACATATTGTTGTGAATATGTTGCTGGAAACAATTCTGCAAAATATTAGCACTGTATCAGACACATTACACTACAAAAAGTTTTTTGTTTTCCTTGAAACACACCTGCAGTCTAGTTATACTGTAATTGACATATAGTCGAAAACACATCCTAACAGTTAAGCACTCATTTATACTGCTTCAAAATCACTGTCATCTGAACTCTCATAATCAACTTCTTCATGGTCCTCTGGTATCTCCTCGGGATCATTCTCCAGCAGAGAAGCAGCATTCGGTCCTAAAGCCAGGCTGTAAGTTGAGCATATGACTTGGAACTTCTCCTCCACATCTGCAAGCCTTTTCTGAAGAAGACTCAGTAGCCCACCATGACCCTCTTCACTTAAACTGCCTAGTAGGATAAATTAAAAGTGAGGCATGACAATACTTCCATTAAGTTAGTTTTGTTGAGCTATTCATTAACTGACTTTACTGAATATACAGACCATTTAGATCCAGCCACAAGGAATCAATGATGTAAAACTTGATGATCTCAAAGTGAGTGGGGTTTTATAGGATCCCTAAAACCATTACAGCAAGAATCTAATAAAAGTTAGCTTCTTACCACTGTTTCTGACCAAAGACATTTCGGATATCCTTGTCCTAATGTTTCCAGACAGCTTTCTGAGACAGGTGCAGTGCTGTCTCATCTCCCTCATCACAATGATCTTTTCCTCTTGAAGGCGAACTTTTGACATGTACACATCAAAAATCTTCTTCTTGGTGAGAATGTTACTGGATTCTGAAGTCACACAAATAACATTCCATCAATACAAATTTGACCTGTACATTCTAAACAGCAGGCAAAACATAAGTAGTTTATGCCTTAGAGAGAAATTGCTACATACCACTGCTGTGCACTTCCCAAGGCCAAATTAGACTGTCTCCTCCCACAGAGAGCCCGGTCTCCACCTTCTCTTCAATGATGCGCTCCTCATCTGCCACCTGCTCATTGTAGAGCTTGATTGTTTCCAAGAGTTTTCTCTTCTCTTCCCACAATTTTCTTCGACGCAAGTGTCGAACTTTGTTGCTGTCTATAAAAATTGCAAAACACAGAAAACATGATGCACAAGCCCATTCACATGCAGATATGAGAAAGTTCAATGAAATACTAATACTTATAACTGACTAAAGATTTAATAAATTAAAATGTTGTAAAAAAAAATGCATCATGACTTAAAATGTGTAATAGAGGCCTAATATCTGTAAAACTAAAAGGAAGACATTTTAAAATTAAGGAGCTGAAAACAAGTTAATACCAAAACAATACAGATAAGACGTCTCCAAGTAATAAACATTACATAAATATTAGGTGACTTATCAACATACCAGTCTGATTATAAAGGCTGGCTTTTTTTTGATGAACACCAAGAAACATTTGTTCAATAGATTTCTGACGTTCAAATCGGCCATCACATCTGGTACCAGAATCTTAAAGCAACAACAATACATGTAAATGATTATGGTGTATTTTAGGCTGTAAATTTAAACAGTTTGAAGTTCAAGTTAAGTTTATTTAAAGCCCCAAATCAATTATTACAGTCTCAAAGGAGCTTACAAGCCCACAAGTTTATAACAAACAAAACAGGACACGTCCAGTTACACAATGAATTATCACGCAGCAATATTAGTAAGCTACATAGAAGAATGTCCATAAAACACTGTACCGTCAGTAGCCCATTGTCTGACATCATCTACCCACTGATGCACGACATTCTCAGGACACCCCAGCTCACTGCTCAAACTCTCCAGTCTCTGAGACTCAGCCTCAGCCTTTTTGAGAGTCTGGTGTGTAAAATAAAAAAGAAAAAGAAAAAAAAGATTTCTGCCTTTGTGATCTTAAAAAGAGAGAAAAACATGAAAAGCTATTTATACCCAACTCAGACACAACATAATACCTTGATGTATCTGCTGGATAGTGTGAAATGAAGGCCTTCCAGCTTCCGTCGGTTCCATCCAATTGCATGGATAGTTAGCATGTCATTTCTGGCTTTAAAGACAAAATGATGTGATGGAGGAAAGTCCCATTAATGCCCATGAGATTTTACTTCATCCACACATTGAACATTGAGTTTTAATTAAAGAGAGATGTAATGCATTTCTATTAATGTGTTACTTACTATCATATTTCCAGCTTTATATTTGCATTTTGCAATACATGTTACATAATATTTGCAATCTCAGAGTACAAAGTATTAGACATAAAAAAATAAAAACAATAAAAAGAAGAAAGAATAAAAGACAGGTTTCCTAAAATAATATAAATAAGCAACAATTACCAGATTTTGTCATGTACTTGGTTGTGAGGGCACAACGAGACAGGTAGCTGTTTACCATTTCGACCTCCTCCCCAGCAGTTGTGCCAGCACCTTCCTGATTTTTGCCACTCCAGATTATCTAACAATTTATTCTGGCACTTATATTATAATCATTTACAGTGTATTATATAAGTCATAAAATTACAATTTCAAAAGGTATTATAAAGAATATGCAGTACCTCACACTTGGTTGAATGAGCCTTGGCATGCATGACAGAAAGGAATGGTCTCATCTGCAGTAAAGGTCTGAGTTCCAACATGGAGACTGCCAACTTCTCGAGATAAGGCCAATACTTGCAAGCAATATCTGTGCAATAGAACTGCCCGTTTGTGGCTGCTTGGAGATCCTTCTGCAGGTACAGCGGATAAGCAAATATTCCCCCCCTGTACATGTTAAGAGCCTTGAGTAGCACTCCGTGTCTGCAAACAACCACCTCAAGGCCCTCTTCATCCAGTTTGCTTGCTTTTCTGGCTGTTTCACGTGCAGCAGACCACTGACTGGCTCCACAGATCCCTTTGCCGGCAGTCTGCATGACAAAATAATTCTGGTTAAAACTGAAAGTTGCTTTTTGTTCTAGTTACTTCATCCATCAGGATGAGTCAGATTACATCACACCAACTGGCATCTTTGTAATGATCAGTGATAATAAAAGGTTTACTTTCAAACTACTACTAAGGAGGAGCTTCAGAAAATGCATCTTCCACTTTCTTTAGAGTGACAAACTGCATGCATAGTCACTATCTCTTACAGAGATCTGCTATTACATAATGAGTGAGCTGCTAAACTAGCCATTTTGAATGCCACCACACATACCATGTTTAATTTCAAACCTCAACACAAGATTGCTTAAAAGAGTGCAGCATGCTAGGGATACAATATCTATTTAATAAAGCAACAATCATACATTTCAAATTTTGGATTTAAATCATAGGAGCAAAAACTAACACTTTTCATTTTACTCCTGATCTCATCAACAAAATGGTGTACGTCAGTGTCCTTGGCAATGAAGGTGCCATCAAAATAGGGTTCCTCTGACCTTAATAGAATAAGAAAAAATATATATTTAGTGCAAGACATTATATGTTCTGTTAATTTTACATTAAATAAAATGATTACAAGTTTAAAACAACGAACCCTTTTGACTGCCGAAATCGGTACACTTTTCTGTTGCCGTCTGCACAAAGAGCGAGCATGTTAGGTGTACAAGCCGGGCAGGTGAAGTGCTCTACACTGGCCATTTCTTCACACTGGTACTGGCAGAATGTGTATTCCATGAAGCTTCTTTGAAAGACGTCTCCATGTATTTTCCCAGCCTGTACATGCGATTAGTGAAGAAGAGTAAAATGAAATAGCTACACTAATATTCTCTACCATCTCAACTTTGATCCACACTGATCTTACCCTTCCAAACAGACAAGTCCTTCTCTCCAACATCCGCAAAAAACCTTGTCTCGATAATCCTGGTGCAACAGTTTTCATTTCTTCAAATGTACTGAAGACATCGACTGAAAAAAGCGTGTCTGCATTCACAGATGCTGGCCAGTACCCACTTCTTATTAGGTCGCTCATGTCAGGTGTCCAATGAGCCAGACATAATCTACACAACAAGCTTGGCAAGTGCAAGTCATACCGACCTAAAATAAAAAAGTAGAACATTCTAACACACGAAGGGACAAGAATTCTTTTTAAATATAAAACCATAGTTCCTACCATTTATGCAAACCAAAATGATTGCTCTGCCAGCTGATTCTGTGAAATTTGAAGGGTCGCAAGTGCATAACTGGACAGGTCTCACTGTAGGTAATAAACATACTGAAAAGAGAAGAGAAATAATTTGAGCGAAGCATTAAAAATATGTACAATTAACATAATAAAAGTTTAAAAAATAATAATAATAATAATAATAAAAAAAACACTTTACCAAAAAGGTTCAAAACACTACCTTGATTGACCAGTGTATATTTGCCATCTTTTTTTACACAGCACACTGTTGGCTCAATGGGCTTGTAAATTCCCTCAATGCAGGACTCCCTGTTATGGAGGGTGAGTTTTTTGTGTATGTGCGTGTCACAATCCATACACAGCCACTCTTGTGGCATGCAGTCTCTGCAGCGAATGACGGCAGGAGACGTGCAGTGGCTGCAGTTCTTTTCTGGAGCCACATTGCAGAACAGCAAACAGTTGATATGAAAAGACCTTGCTTTCCTCCACTCGTCTTGGGCTACAGATTGGCGCAAGCACCATGATGTGGATGTTGAAGGGGACTTGTTGGTGCCTTGAACGTCTGCTGAGGTCAGAACATCCTGCAGTTTCTGCATCTCAATGTCTAAAATACAAAATTAAGAAAATAATAATTCCTTTCACGCTTATTGCTAAATTGCTTAATTACAGTAAGGTCAGGTGTCATCTTACCAAATAAGTGTTGAGAGCAGTTTGATTGTGTAACTGTGGGGACCTCCTCAGATGACTCAAAAGGTGTCACGTCCTCACTGCCAACCACAGAAACAACTGAAAAGATAGATAGGAAGGAAAGAAGGAAAGAGATAATGTTCATGTCTTACAAGCATACAATACAGTGTTCATTTAGTGACTTAAGGCTATAATCGGTTGATTGATATGTCTGACACTTCCTTTAAACTCTAAACGTTTTTTTGAAAAAACTTGTTAGCAGCATGAACCGGACACTGCTGCTTCACTTCTACTTATTTTTTTTTTGGAATTGCTAAGCATTGCAGTTAAATCCATAACATAAGTAACACATCCACCATGTGGTGTTTCTGATGGCACAGTTAAACATTCAGTATTTAAAGGAAAATTATTAAAATCCAGAAACAGAAATCCTATTAACCTAACAAACCTACCAAACAAACAGCAAGCTGAATTCTGTATACAATGGCCACAATTATATTTACTAATCACAAATAATCTTGGAAGGCATGGACTACCTGTAGCTGAAGCACGTTTTCGTGTCTCTCCACTTCTGCTTCTTTTTAGCAGTGGACGTCCTTTAGCATCTCTCTCCACCCATCGGACATTGCATTTATTACCTTTAGCAGATGTTGCTTTGTCCTTCGCTTGCTTTGCCTTGAATGACAGAAAGTGAGCAGTTTATTATAAAACTGAAATACAGCCAAATCTTGAGCAGTTCATTCAAATTTTGCACTCTAATTCCCACTCCTTATTGGGAATTAGAGTGCAATTGTCCAATTGTCCAATAACCAATTGTCTCAAAAAATACTCACTTTGGTTTGAGCAAGGAACATGTCTGCAAGGAAAATAGCATCATCTGCTCTCCCTCTGTTTTGCTGAGCAGCCATTTCAAAGATACTATACTGGAAAGGAAGATAAAAACACAGTCAGATAAAAAGTATTAAGGATGTATAGTATAGGGTTGCTATAGGCTATATAAAAACTAAATAAAAAAATGTTTTGAGACAGTGAGAGAGAGAGAGTAAGGTGAAATAAAAATAAATAATAGAGTAACAATACTTACTTGAAGACAGTGACGCTTCAGAAAAGAGATAGAGATCGAGAGAGAGCGAGAGAGAGAGCGAGAGAGAGAGAGAGAGAGAAAGAAAGAGTGTGTGTGTGTGTGTGTGTGTGTGTGAGAGAGAGTGATAGAGAGAGAGAGAGAGAGAGAGAGAGAGAGAGAGAGAGACTGACAGTGAGAGAGATAGAGGAGTGGCTCTTAAAAGAGCCGTTGGTTTCTTATAAAATTAGACAGGTGGAGGTAAGGATGGTGGGTACAAACAGGAGCTGTTGGACAAAGGAAAACGAAAACATAGTTATTTTGCAGCAAAGATTCCACGATTTGTCATACTATACATATAACTGCAACAAAACAAAGAAGATAACTTTGATGCTGCTGTTATTGCATATTCATCATGCAAACTGCATTCATGTACAGAAGCAGTGTGTCGTAATAAATGAGATTTAAAAAAGATTTTGTTATTTGTCCTCTCGATGCGCCTGTAAATAGTTGTGTGTATGGTTATTGTTTTAGTGTTGTACCCCCAATTTTGCCCATTTTCTTCTGAAAGATTTATTTACATCAATTACAGAACATAATATGAACTTTATCGATCAATAAAAAAAAATGTAATGGCACAAACTAGAATAATTATAGTAAATTTTACATGTGGGGTCGGTAAGATGTTTAATGTTAAAAGAAGTATAATATGCTTACGACAGCTTAATTTATTTGATCAAAAATACAGTAAATCTTTATAAAAACTAAAATTGTGAAATATTATTTAAAACAGGTGATCTGTTTTCTATTTAAATATGTTAAAATGTAATTTATTCCAGAGATCAAAGTTGAATTTTCAGCATCATAATTATTAGAACAGCTTATATGATATACATACATACATATATATATATATATATATATATATATATATATATATATATATAAACACACACACACACGTGTGTGTGTGTGTGTGTGTGTGTGTGTGTGTGTGTAACAATGTAAAAGCATTTACGATCACGTATAATCGATTTATTGCATCATTTCTGAATAAAATAAATTCGTTCAAAATCGAAAAAATTACTGGTTTATGTGAGGATCTGATTGCCCCCTGCTGGTGTTCAACCTTCATTCCTGCGTGTCATGTTCACGGCTTGAGGAGGCAAAGCGTGAACATAACACGCATCCGCTAGTGGACCAGCGTGTGTATTACACATTTTAGCGTGATACCGGGTTGTTCCATATGGTCTCAGTTAGTTACTTTACAGAAACTCGTCCAGCTCATCCAGGTCTGGGGCACTTGGGTGAATCTCTGCGTTGACACATCCAATATCAACTCCTGATGGTCTCACTGATACATTGATCATTTGTTTGGCATCTGTACTGGCCAGCATTGATCTGAGGAAAGGCACAACACAACAAAACAACAGAAAGAAAACACCAGCTGATGCTGCTAATATTATTCGCACCTGAATGAGCCAGTCTTTCCAGGATGCAAATATTGAGTCAAGCCAATACCCAAAGCTCCTGTCTCTCCCCGCATTGGTAGCAACTTCCGGTCTTAATTCTTTTATCTTCTTCATGTCCCTAGTAAATGGTCCATCCGGGGCTGTGCCCGCTTAGGAATAAATGTACAACAGTCAGTTTCAAACATTACGCACACACTTCCGTTTTCTGCCAGGAGCCAATTCAGAGCTTGTCTGTTCTGCCAGGTCATTTTGCTTGTGTCTTTTAGTTGTTCTCCTAGAGCTTCGAGTGCTTCATCCGTGTAATTAATAAATCTCTGCTGGTTGTAATATATGTAATTAATCCATTCCATATTCTTATTTGGCTTTATCTATACAAATATTAATTCAAGTCCTGCTGCTGCCTCGTCTCTAGCATATGGTCTCCATCTTGGCTGTAACAATCCATCACTAGATGGTTGAAAGATCCTTCTGGAATAGAGCCTATTGGGGTTGCTGTTCCTTTTCTGACATTATTTCACATTCATTAAAAAAATTAATCTACCCTTGTCTGTAAGTATGGGGACCAAAATCCCTGTCTTTTTATCTTTCTCAACATTTCCCCCCTTGCACAGTGATCAAAACTGTCTGTGCGCATCAAGAATCAGGATGTTTAGTAGTGGTAATGGAGCTATCATAAGTCCTTCCATGGCAATCAAATCTAACACCAATTCTGACGTTGTTTTTGCATTTGGCTATCATCAATCTTCTATTGAAATCATCTATCATCAAATTTCTTTCTTTTTTTCTCTTTTTATATTTTTACTCACTTCCCCCCTTTGTGCGATGGTCAAAAAACCACGCACATCTTAAATTAAAAAGGTTTGCCAGTGTAATTATTTTAATTCCTTTAATACCTCATTTGTCCAATCTAAAGTTGAGGGTGTTGCTGCCTTCTGGACTTATCTGATATAGACTTAATTTTATATTCAATTATCTATCCTAAATTTCAAGGTACGAATATCACTAATACAAAATTGTTAATACAACTCTGATGACAAAAGCTACTGAATATTGTGGTGTAGCATTCCCCATGTGACAATGTCCACGTCTGTGAACAACACAGCTGGCCGACATCAGTTGCCATTTGATTGTGTTAAACACCTCTGTCATAAACCTCACTTTTTTAATATATAATATAACAAATTATCTGGTAGGTCTTGACTGTTTAAAAGACCGATTATCAGTTTATCTAATCTAATTTGTCATTCATCTGTTCATTTAATTTCTCCTCATAATCTTTTAAATTACTTTAGATCTCATCATAATCTCAAATTCATGACCCACAATATCAACATCGTACAATCCCCGGTAATATCAAAATTTGTGATATCACGTGTTTATAATTTGTGTAGTAACTATTTTACTTCTCAAAAAATGACTATTGACCAAGATAGAGTGACCAGCATCATAGCTCTATCATCCACATTTTTGTTGTTTGACACATTTTGTCCCCCCTTTTTTAATACAGAACTTATACCAGCTACATTGAAAGCATAGCCCAAACATTCTCTGTTTAATAAACAAAATCTTAAATAATCTAATTATGCATTTACTCTTGTTGTTATTATTATTAATCCAATATTCGCTCACTCTGCTAAGTCCAGTCTCGGCTTTAATTAATTATTTAGTCATGCAAGCACTTGACTTCTTTTCTTTTAATTATATTATTAGCATTATTAAATGCTTACAGCTGGACTGATGTCTATGGAAAGAAAGCAAATAGAGTGTTAGCCTAACAGAACATAAAGAACTGCTGCTGGACCAGTGTATAACCAAAATACAACTAATATGGCCAATCAATGAAATTATAAGCGGTCTCTGTTGTGATCATTTAAGACGTATCACCTGTGCCTGCTTAAGAAAGGATGAAGTTCTTCTGCTTGGATCAGTTGAACTGGTTGGGCTGCTGTCACGTTTCTCTCCTCATCCGATGCATTTGATCTGTCAGTCCTCATTCAAGGGTCTGGCGTCATGTTCTGACACAGTGGTTGGACAGGATGCTGTAGTCTCTCTGCCTCTGCTCAGCCTGGCTTTTGGCCAAGCAACGGAGGAGGCACATTTGAAGAATGGGAGGATGTTTTTTCTTGGTTGTTTCTGCATCAACACAGTCTTTGTCTATACCAGCTCCTCAGAAGTTTCAACTTCATATTTTCAGGGAGGATGAAGGCCCACCAACCAAATGCCTCTTCTTTTCTCTGCAGCCGTGTCTTTATGTTTCTTGCTCTCACTTGTTGCACAGTCTAGTTGCTGTTGTTCATGTCGAGGCAGATGCCCCAAAAGCTGGCTGGTCTCATCTGGAAAATGAACACTCAGAGATCCGCATTAATTAAATTCATACTTTATAAATTCTTCAACCATCTCTTTCAATTGTCCCTTAATTTCAGAAATCTCATCTGGTTGATAACGGCAGTTTCCCCATGCGGTTTTAATAAAGCAAGTTCTTCTTTGCAGAAAAGAGCAAGCATGTTCTTCTTTGCAGAATGCAGAAAATAGCAGCCTATCAGTCCGTCTGAGTTGCCTTATTTTCAGTCACATATATAGCATTTTTATCACTTGCTATTTCGATCCCTACTCCCTCAAGCACTTTAGGATTAAATTAATTACTCTCATTACTGTAAAATTCATATAATCAAATACAGTATATGTCTGTTAAAAGTGTCTGTTAAGCTTGGTCACCCAATCCTGCTCATTCAACACAATCAATGTATTATTTAAAAATAACGCAATTCAAAAATCTATATTTCTACAATATATCAATTTTTCAAACTGTCTCCCAGGGATAACAAGA